ACGATAAAGAAACAAATAAAACCGCATTGGAAATACATAAAACAAATAATTGAAAATATAGTTGTGGCAACACCCGGTGCTTGAATGGCCCGCGCGACCGGGTCTGGGCGAGTCACGCACGGGCGACCAGGCCCTGATGACGTCACAGCGCATCTTGTACACGTCCCTACAGCCAAAGTAAGTGGAATTTGGTACTTATTTTTACATAGACATGTTCAGAGATGGGAATTTATCATTTTACGAAGAAAAAAGAACTTTTTGGGAACACTTCATTTCATGCGCACCGGGGGAATTTCTCAATAAACTCCGCGCAGCACGGTGGTTAAAGAATTCTGACAAAGAAAGGGATCTAGGGGTGGTTCTAGATAGAAAACTGTCACCTGAGGACCACATTAAGAACATTGTGCAAGGAGCCTATGCTACACTTTTTAACCTCAAAATTGCTTTTAAATACATGGATTTAGAAATACTAAAGAAATTGTTCACGACTTTTATTAGACCAAAGCTGGAATATGCAGCGATTGTGTGCTGCCCATATCTTAAGAAGCACATCAACAAACTGGAAAAGGTACAACGACATGCTTCTAAGTGGCTCCCAGAACTGAAGGACAAGAGCTTCGAGGAGAGGTTAGAGGCATTAAATATGCAAAAACTAGATGATAGAAGAAAAAGAGGCGATATGATCACTACTTTCAAAATAGTAACAGGAATTGATAAAATTGATAGGGAAGAATTCCTGAGATCCGGAACTTCAAGAACAAGAGGTCATAGATTTAAACTAACGAAACAAAGCTGCCTGAGAAATATATGAAAATTCACTTTTGTAAACAGAGTGGTAGATGGTTGGAACAAGTTAAGTGAGAAGATGGTGGAGGCCAAAACCGTCAGTAATTTCAAAGCATTATACAGTATCCACTCAATTTAACGGCCTCTTTTATACCGATCTGCCGGTAATAACGACCGGTTTGGTAGACCGGTATTTAGAGCCTCATATAACGGTCTGGTGGTCGATATTACTGAAGGTCGGTATTGGGTTTGTCTTGGCATCAGAGGGTCCTCACATGGCAAGCAGGCTGCCTACCCCTTTCATCCCTTCCCTCACCCTCACTGAACCTCTACCCCCACACCCTCACTTTCTGCCTCCCCCCCCCCCCACCAAGACCCTTCTGGGAAATGGCTCAGTAGACTGCCAGCCAGCCAGAGACAGCCTGGAGAATCTCCATCTAATAAAGCATTCATGAAACAAGTATTTTATAACTTTTTATTATCCTAATATTATTACTAAACAAAATCTGTAAGCAAAAAAATATATATGATGTACATCCAGAATTTAATTAAGAAACATCTGGTTAACTGGGTCAAGTGTTAGACTTATCTCTTCCCTTCCCCACCACCGACACCCCCCCCCCCATACTTCCCATACACTCGCTGTCTCTGCTTCACTTCAACATCCAATGTGCTCCATCCCTCCCTCCTTCCTTCCATCCCTCCCTCCTTCCTTCCATCCCTCCCTCCTTCCTTCCATCCCTCCCTCCTTCCTTCCATCCCTCCCTTCCTCCCTCCTTTCATCCCTCCCTTCCTCCCTCCTTCCATCCCTCCCTTCCTCTCTCCTTCCCTCCATCCCTCCATCCTCATTCCTTCCCTTCATCCCTCCCTTCCTCCCTCCTTCCTTTCCTCCCTCCATCCCTTCTTCCCTCCCTCCATCTCTCCCTCCTTCCCTCCCCTCCATCCCTTCCTCCCTCCTTCCCTCCTCCCTCCATCCCTCCCTCCCTCCTTCCTTCCATCCAAACATCTGGTTGCGAGCCGGTTCCTTCCCCCACCACCGACACCCCCTCGCCCCCCAAACTTCCTATACACACGCTCTCTCTGCTTCACCTCAACAACCATAGCTCCATCCCTCTCTCCCTCCCTCCATCAATCCATCCCTCCATCCATCTCCATCCTCCATCCATCTCCTCCACCCCCCCTGCCTACCACCACCCTGCCTGCCTGCCTCCCTCCCTCCCAAGTCTGCCTCTCCTGCCTCTCCCCCTGCCTCCCAGCCTCTCCCTGCCTACCCAGCTCTCCCTGCCTGCCTGCCTGCCTCCCTCCCTCCCAAGCTCTGCCTTCCTCCTTGCCTCTCCCTCCCTGCCTACCTCCCAGCCTCTCCCTGCCTACCTCCCAGCCTCTCCCTGCCTGCCTGCCTACATTTCAGCCTCTCCATCCCTGCCTGCCTGCCCATCCACCCACCAGTCAGCCATCACTAACACAACGAGTGCATTTGGAGCCAACATGGTGCACGGATGTTCCTTGATTGTGCAAATATGTCCAACAAAGTCACGGAATGAATACTCCAGCCTCATGACAAATCAAAACGATGTGCCGTGAATCTGTGGCTTCACAGGGTAGAAAGCACTAGAGTGGTGGACCCAGTGGCTGTACATGGTGCACAGCGCGACTTCGCTCTCGTTACACCAGGTACAGATAAATTTTCGCTTCCTGTTTCTTCATTCTGTGTGCTTGCAAATAATGCACTCACGTACACCCTTGGCTTTAGTACTTGTAGGTTGTATGTAGCCAAACTTATAAAGCATAAGGTAGTATTGAAAAGATTATAGGAAAAGATCAGTTTGTAAAGTAGTCTTGAAAAGATCACTTTGTATGGTCCCACACAGGAAGAGATTCAGCTAGCCTCAAAGAGTGTCCATCAGTCAGGAAGAGATTCAGGTATTCTTGAAAATATCTATGGAAAACACCACCATGGAAGCTGCTAACACTGTTCATCTATGCTACTTGTATCAGATGCATCATCACTGAATGCAGAAAATGATTCATCTATGTATCATCTAAATAAATTGGAGATAGCATAGAATTGCAAGGGTGATGCTCAGAGCTACAACTGGATACACTCGCTGTATCGTCCTTATAGGTGCTGTATCACTTGCATCCGACCTTTGTGTTAGGTTCTTATTTTGCCTAGTTTCACCAATATTATGACCCTTATGTTCTTCAATCAATAAGGTTTGAATTTCACTGACAGCTAGAGCGTTATCCCGTCAACACCGCGTTGGACAGGTGTTTGGGAGCCAGAGGCGCGTGTGCCACCCATGGTTGCTCACTCAGGACTAACCCAGCCAGCAGCCCTAGAGCATTCTGGGAATTTTTTCCAAGATAGCTGCCTCTCACTGGAGGTCCTAAGAGTCCAATTTCATACACAACCAACCTTGTACCCAATTAGAATGGGTACCGAAAAATCAAAAAGAGTTTTCTTGGTTGGTGCAGTTTCCTGCTGACCGAGAATACTCGGTTGGCGCAGTTAAGTGGTTAAAGAAAAGGAAGAGTCCAGAGGAAAGGCAGCAAAGAAAGGGCCACTGGTAAGACCCAGAAGCCTCAGCAGGAAAATCAAGCTCAAAAACCTCCGTCCTGCAACCCGAATGGGGCAGCCCCGAAGCCGTTCGAGTCTCGGCGCCAATTAAACCCCGCCCCGACCCCGAAACCTGCAGACGATCAGGAGCCAGGAACAGGGAGGGAAAAGAGGTGAACAACACCTAACCAAATAGGGCGGTCCCGGGGCATCCAGATGGGAAAACAACCTAGCGCGTTGCAGGAACCAAAACAAAGCTTGCAACGTGGGTGCTCCCTGTACTCTGAACAGTAAGGACATCAGAAGAGCATTGGTGAACAAGCAGAGAACACATCTCGCAAGACTCTGGGTCAAGATATCAGTGACCCAACAGGCAGCATGATGTAGGTAAAAAGAGGTGACTGTCATCCCGAGACAAGGGAACAGCAACCAACGAACCCCGCACAGGATGGAATGGAACCCGGAAGACACATCCAGTGGTCCACTGAGCCCTGACAGGGTTTTCCAGGGCCCATAGGCTGACTGCTACGGGAAGCCCGGGCAAGGTGTTGCTAACCGGTTAACACCCAAAGCTAACAAGGGGTAGATGACAACACTGAAAACCCCTGCGACATGTACAATCACGGGGGCCTAGCAGAGGGCCACCAAACACTACCAGTGAAACTATAGCCACACTAGGCAGACCCCCACCAGTCAAATGAAAATAAAAACAAAAGAAAAACCCTGCAAAAGTACACCGTCCCCAGAGGCAACAGGAACCAGTCGCCGTGTAGGTAGCAGGTCGCGCAACACCTTGACGCCTTAACCAGCACAATACCAGTCCCTACTCAGGGCCAAACAAGGGCCCCAAGCTCCAGCTGGCCTCAAGGGCGAGGCAAGTGCCGAGCAGCAAGAACCTCTACGGGAATGGTACCCGAACGCCCCAGGGAAGATAACCCTGTCACGCAGGGGCAGTACTCATAGGGCTCTTAGGGAAGGAAGCCCCTAAGCGCATGCAGCCCCAGTACTGATGAGAAACACCTGGCCACTGCACAACACAAAACACAGCAGTGAGCGCCACGAAGGCAAACACCACCTAGGAAACTGAGGCTAGAGAAGCGTCTGTCCCGGTTGACATTAGCTTACAAACTGGCGCTAGGCAGCCAGCGCGGTGAGGTCCAGGACCCTCCCCTCCCCCTCTTGGGGAGGGTAGGGTCAAGCGGTGCGGCAGTAAAGTGTGATGTTTGCTTGTTTGCTTGTTTCCTTGGGATTATAGAGAGTTTCTACCTCTCTGTTCAGTTTTTTGTTTAGTTTCTTACCATGTGGGGTTTGTTTTGTTATGCCTACCTTTCTGGGTGTTTAACCCTGGTCGATGGCAGATAAGGAAAACCCCAACCACAGGGGGGCTTTCCAGGGCCATTACTCCCAGAAACCTCTCTGAAGGGGCCAGGTTCTGGCGCTGGTCCCTGATAGGTCTGAACTCCATAGCTAATGTCCCGGTCTAATATAACATACATTAGCTCGATAAGCTCCAGAGAGCTGTAGGGGCGCCCCACAGAAAAGTTGTTGTAACTTTTGTATACAGTATACTTCTGCCTTTAAACAGTTTTATACAATTTACCATTTCATTCTAAAATCTTTCCAATCATTTCGTATTTCAAATTTATGAAAGACTTGCCTGCTTGTGGAGGTCCTGGTTGTGGGGAATGAAGGGGTGGCAGCAGCAGCAGCAGCAGCAGGGGTGTCTCCCACTAGGGAGGACCACCTGTTGTTTTCATGGATGGGGGACGATAGGCTAGGTTTGTCACTGGTGGGTGACAATAGGCTAGGTTTGTCACTGGTGGGTGACAATAGGCTAGGTGTGTCACGAGTGGGGGACAATTGGCTAGATGTGTCACAGGTAAGGGACAGTAGGATAGGTGCGTCACTGGTGGGTGACAATAGGCTAGGTGTGTCATTGGTGGGGGATATTAGGCTAGGTATGTCACGAGTAGGAGAGGACCAGCTACGAGAATCACGAGCAGGAGAGTGCCAACTACGAGCATCATGGTTAGGGGAGGAAGAACTATGACTGCCATGAGTTGGAGAGTACCAACCATCTTTGTTTCTAGTTGGGGAAGATAGGCTCTGAGACGCTCGATCACCGTGAAGGAGAGACCAACCATGAGTGTCAAAGGCACTGTGAGTATCTTGCACACTGGTAGAAATGTTGTAAGCATCATTGCTGGTCGAAGAACAATGGTTATCTGGGGACGCAGTGTTCCTGGAAGGGCTATCACGAGTTGGCGTAGAACACCTATGATTATCTTTAGAAAGACTTTCCCGAGCAAGGATTAAGTCCCTTGCTGGCGAGGACCACCTGTTTCCTTCTCGTGATGTGGTCTCCCTGGTGGACCAAGATGCCTTTCTCAGAATTGGAGATGCAGACCCAATTGACAGTGGTTTATTTATTGATGACTGCCATGACCATCTGCCCTCAGAAGCTCTCTTGGGTGATGGAGAACCAAGCTTTGTTAACTCAAGATCTAACTTAGTCAAACTAGTGCCATGACCAGAACATCCTTCACCTATCCTGTTATCTCTAAATTCTGTTTCTGGGGACTTCTCCCTTGAATTATATCCACTTTTGTCTATATCAGCAAACCCAATGCTGAACTCAAAATCAGGTGATTCACTACCAGTTCCATCCATTCTTATTGAGTCTGGTAAAGATATTCCTATCCCTAGTGCTGCTGCCCCTAGACTAGAACCCTTCTTTGTAGATGAAGTGGAGGTTCCCATCAGTGCCTGCATCTGTAGCTCAGCTGCCGAGAAGGGATCATAAGGAGAGTCCCCAAGTCTGCAGAGGGAGGATAATCTTGTCAGAGATGATGCTGACAATATGGTCAAAACTTGGAAAGGCAGTTTAATAGAAAAAGCACAGTAATCCCAGTTGCTAGTATTCTACATGACAGGAGAAAGAGTTAGGCAGTTTAATAGAAAAGGCTCAGTAATCCCAGTTGCTAGTATTTTGCATGACTGGAGAAAGGGTTAGACAGAGAGTTTAAGGACCAAGCTCAAGATGAATGCTACAGGTTTCACATACTTACACGCATAAAAATAAAGATACTGTACAAGGATTGCATATCAAAGCCCAAGGTTTTACACCACTAATGCATAAAAATCATGAAGCTTCACAAGAACAAGGACATATACCTGTGATTAAATGAAACTTTCAGAAATTATGTACATTTCTAGGATTAGGAGGTCAGGACAATTTTATTAACTTTAAATCTTATTTAAATGTATTCATGAATATTAATATACAAAAACATTTATCTATACTACTGTGCATAAAACTATCCTGTCATCCATAGAGTGACTGAAAGTGTGCAACATGAAGCATGCATGCAATGCTAGAGGAGTTAAGGAAGATAAAACTAGAAACTAAATTCTTGTACAACATCAACACAAAACTGAGGATTTTTCTCGATACCCGAAGATGTTACCTTTTCTGGAGTCCTGACTTGGAGGGGGCAAGTTTCTTCATTTTGCCGATAGCTTTCCTGTGTTCACTAGTAGCTCTCTCACCTCCCATACTCTGTGATCCTATTAGTGACTTAAACATGACATAGTCTCTTCTTGAGATGATTATCCCATCACCACTGTCAATTCCATTCACTGGTATAAGAGTCATAGGTTTAGGATGTCTGTGTTCTCTCTTAGGACTCCTAGAGCGAGACACATGTTGTTTGTTCTCAGCCTCGACACTCTTCTTTATCTTTACATAACTCCTGCTCTTGCCATCACTCTCTCTATTATTATTACCTGCTCCTTTTTCACTTCTTTCCCTTGATCTTGATTGTTTTCTTTCTTGTGGAAAATTATGAATATTTCCTTCATTTTTTCTTTCATTTGATAGTCTTCTCCTTCCATCATTATCACAAGAGTCCCCAGCTTCCTCTCTCTTGCGACGGAGAAGCTCTCTAACGCTCTCTCTGTTGGCGCTTTTGATATTTTGTAATCTACTTGAACCTGAAAATGGCAATTCTCCATTCACCTCAAAACTTCTGTCTATCTTGGCAAAAGGATGAGATTCATGTAGATTATTAACTTCTCCCCACGAATTAATATATTCACTACATTCTTCTTTCTTTATTGTATACTTCCCCCCCTCCCACTTTTCGTCTTCGAAATGTACAGATCTGGGTCGACCAAGACTTGTCTCCACATTCTCATCATCTCCACTCACAGATGTAGATGACTTGAGAAAGTTCTCCTCCGTTGGTATATCTATATCTTCTTCACTTTCACAGTTAAATTCCAGTTCATTTAAGATTTCATTGTCACTCTCCTCCTGCCGATTATTTGAACACTTTCTAGATTTGTCAACCCTGAGATTATCATCATCATAGCTACCTTTCTCCTCCTCAGAGTCTGCTCTCCCCACTCCAGACTCCCTCATCTTATCTTGGGTCTTCTTTAAGTCATCCTCTGCACACACTCTCCTCCTGCACCTTGGGTCTTCATCCACAATAACTGAATTTTCTGGGGCTTCCATTATTCTCTCATATTTGTCTTGATATATCAAATCTGTCTGATGCACTTTCTTTTTTCTTTCATTTATCTTTTCTTTTTCCACTTTACTGTGTCCACAAGACAAGGAGAGAAGGCAGAACCAAGACAAGGAGAGAGAGAAGTTAGTTATTAATTAGGTTAGTTTATAACAACAATTTATTTTGTAGAGGTTTGTAAGATTAAAACATGACATATACAAATAATGTAGCATTGAGTTAAGTAAATATTAAGAATAAATGTTAAACTAACACAAAAGACATAAATGGTTAATTTTGTTAATAGAGCATGCATACATGTGTCTGTATGTGAGTGTATGTAATTACCTAAGTGTAGTTACTTAAGTTGTATGTAATTACCTAAGTGTAGTTACCTAAGTGAAGTTACTTAAGTGTAGTTACCTAAGTGTAGTTACCTAAGTGAAGTTACTTAAGTGTAGTTACCTAAGTGTAGTTACCTAAGTGTAGTTACAGGATGAGAGCTACGTTCGTGGTGTCCCGTCTTCCCAGCACTTTGTCATATAACGCTTTGAAACTACTGACAGTTTTGGTTACCACCACCTTCTCACTTAACTTGTTCCAACCGTCTATCACTCTGTTTGCGAAAGTGAATTTTTTATATTTCTTTGGCAGTTTTGTTTAGTTAGTTTAAATCTATGACCTCTTGTTCTTGATGTTCCAGGTCTCAGGAATTCTTCCCATTCAATTTTGTTGATTCCTGTTACTGTTTTGTATGTAGTGATCAAATCACCACTTTTTCATGACTTCTAGTTTTGGCATATTTAATGCTTCTACCTCTCCTCGTAGCTCTTGTCCTTCAGCTCCGGCAGCCATTTAGTTGCATGTTTTTGCACCTTTTCCAGTTTGTTGATGTGCATCTTAAGATATGGGCACCATACAACTGCTGCTTATTCCAGTTTTGGTCTAACAGAGGTCATGAACAATTTCTAGAGTATTTCACCATCCATATTTTAAAAGTAAGTCTGAAATTGGAAAGTGTAGCATAGGCTCCTTGCACAATGCCCTTTATGGGGTCATCAGGTGACCATTTTCTATCTAGAACCATCCTTATATCTCTTTCTTTATCATAATTTTTTTAAGATATTTCACATAATTTATAGGTTGAGTGGGGTCAATGTTCTTTTATTCCAAATTCCATATTCCATAACATGGCATTTATTCACATTAAATTCCATTTACCAAGTGATGCTCCATATACTTATTTTGTCCAGGTCTTCTTGAAGGGTATAACAATCATCTAAGTTTCTTATCTTCCCTATTATTTTAACATCATCAGCAAACATATTCAAATAATTCTGTATTCCATTAAATAGACTGTTTATGTAGACAATGAGCATTACTGGTGCAAGAACTGAATCCTGTGGTACTCCACATGTGACATTTCTCCAGTCCGATACATTGCCTTTGATTACTGCCATCATTTATCTGTCAGAAAATTTTTCAGCCAAGTTAAAAGCCTCCCTGTCACTCCTCCAATATGTTCCAGTTTTCAAAACAACCTCTTATGTGGAACTCTGTCATAAACCTTTTTTAGGTCCAGATAGATGCAGTCAACCCAACCATTTCTTTCCTGTAAAATCTCTGTTGCTCTATCATAGAAACTAAGTAAATTTGTTACACAGGAACTTCCAGATCGAAAACGATAATGTCTGCTTGTTATTATATAATTTTTCTCCAGGTGTTCTAAACGTTTAGTTTTAAATATATTTTCCAATATTTTGACTATTACACTTGTCAATGATGCAGGTCTATAATTGAGGAAGTCTTCCCTGCTGCCAATAGCCCGTGCTACTTGGAACTTTTTGTTCCAGGTAGCGAATCTTAAACAACAACAACAACCCTGCTGCCACTTTTGTAGAGTGGAATTATATTAGCCTTTTTCAACACAACTGTTAGGACTCCTGTATACAGGGATTCCTGAAAAATCAGTTGAAGTGGAATATTGAGCTCAGGTGTGCATTCTCTCAGAACCCATGGTGAAACTCCATCTGGGCCAACTGCTTTGTTCTTACTTAGCTCCTTGAGCATTTTTTTTTACTTCATCTCTAGACACCGCTATGTGCTCTATGTTGTTCTCTGGAATTCTTATTGTGTCTGGTTCCCTGAAGATTTAATTTTGTAAAAATACACTTTGGAACTTTGTTTAAAGTTTCACACATTTCCTTTTAATTTTCTATGAATCTACTTCCCATTTTCAACTTCTGAAATTATCCTTTACCTGCAATTTGCTTTTGATGAACTTAAATAATAGGCTTGGTTCTGTTTTATGTTTGTCCGCTATACTTTTCTAAAAAAAATTCTGCCTCTCTCTCCTCACTGCCGTGTAGTTGTTTTGCATTTCTTTGAAACACTGGTATGTTTGGGGGTTTGGCCTCTTCCTATATTGATTTCATTTCTGGGAGGGAAGCCTTGTCAGCTTCCCAGAGCTATCCAAGCTGATATGAATATGTATAACTTTCTGGCATCAGTCAATGTGCAAGGTGTTTTTGCCTACCGGGGACCATGGCCAGAACCTGGCCCCTTCAGAGAGGCACGAGGAGCAATGGCCTATAGAAGCCCCAGTGTGGTTGGGAGCATTCTATGTCTGCCATCGACCAGGTCTGGCACCCAGAAAAGTAGGCACCTCAAAACAAACCCCCCAGTCTGGCGAAGAAATGCTACTGAAAGCCGAACGAGTGGACAGAACTCCCCAAATGAAAATTAGCAAACGAGCATGACATTTTCACGCAACTACGTCACTGTCTGCGCCACCCCCCCCCTCACTCCCCGGTAGGGGAAAGGGGAGCCCCAGACCCAACGCGCCAGCGATCCACCCTACCAATTCTTGGCTGATGTGATACTAGCAAGTCATGTGCCTATGGATGCCCTTGTGGCTTACCTCCTGCACGACCTTCATAGTGGTTCCACATTTTTCATGTATGGATCTTCTTGTCCTTACTGGGTTCGTTATGAAGTTCCGGAGTCGTCCTGGTTTGCAGAATGCCCTCTTTTTGCATTGGAGGCTTGGCATCCATTCTGTCGCTAGCACCGCTAGCACCGCACACTAATGGTGCTAGTGTGCGGTGCTAGCTTCTTCCCTGAAATCCGGCTATGCCCTGGCTCTTCGATTTTCTTCGCCTTTTTTGGTCATTGCGGTTGACAGAGTCTGCGGTTGTGCAGTATCTGCGGGCAGCTTCGTCTCGTTGCTGTCCTGTGTCAGACTTGGTAGTCCTCCGGGGGGCTTGTGAGGGAGCCTTCCCGAAAGGGTCGTGCCAGGGCTTTGGGTTCTTCTGTCATAGTGGGCCAATGGTGCCGGATACGTGCCTTCTGATCTGTTCAGTGAGGGGATCGCCCTGCGCACCGTTCGGGTACACGTAGGTGTGTCTATTCTTCGTGGGGCCCTCTTTTCCTGCACTCTGTCGGTTTTTTGTCGAAGTAGTTCACTTGGACGTGGTCGATACAACCTCGTTTCCCCGGTGGGTTCCTGCCTGTTCTGGTCCCGACACGGGACTGCGCGAACCTCCGGTTCATTCTGGACTTGTCCCATCAGGTCTGTGGGTTTTTGCTCCTCCTTCAGATGACTACACTGTCCCAGGTCCGTCTTCGGTTGGAGCCAGATGCTTGGATGGTGTCCCTGGACCTCGCGTACGCGTCTTAGCATGTCCTAATTCATCATCAGTTCTGGGACTGGCTCGGTTTTGTTGTGGGATGTCAGGGTTACCGTTTTCTTTTTCTTCCGTTCGGTTTGTATCTGGCGCCTAGCGTTTTCACACACCTTACTCAGGTCGTGGTGGCCCGCTTGCGTCTGTTAGATGTTCAGGTTCTGGCCTCCCTCGACGACTGGCTGGTTTGGGCTCCCAGCCAGTCCGTGTGTCTTTTCGCCAGGGTTTTGGTTTTTTCCCAGCTCATTGGAATCGGGTTCTTGGTGAACTGGAGGAAGTCCTGTCTGGTTCCCTCTCGGATTCGGTCATGTAATTACTTAAGTGAAACTACTGAAACTACTGATGGTCTTGGCCTCCACCACCTTCTCACCTAACTTGTTCCAACCTTTTTAGGGGAGAAGGTGGTGGAGGCCAAGACCGTCAGTAGTTTCAGTAGTTTCACTTAGGTAATTACAAGACCGAATCCGAGAGGGAACCAGACAGGACTTCCTCCAGTCGATAATCTTGTGTTGGACTCTCAGACCGCTTCCATGTCTCTTCTTCTGGCGGCTCTGCTTCGCCTGCATTCCTGCCTTCATCTTTCCTGGGCTACGTGTCGGTTGCATGAGGTTTGTGCGGGAGCCTGATCTTTGCCATGATGGTCTACCCACAGGGTTGGGTGTGGCTTCATCAGCTCTTTGGGTTCCGTCGGGGACGTCCTTTCTGCCGCTATCGCGACTGCTGGGTTCGGCCTCCGGGGGCTTTGCATCGGTTGCTGCGTTGCCGGCTTCCTCTTCGGGTTTCAGGGTTCTGTGCCTTGGCACCTACCCTAGCCCCTCGCTCAATGTGCTTTCAGATGCGTCGTCCCTCGGCTGGGGCTTTGTGACTAGTGCTCACCTGACCGGCCAAGGGTGATGGGGTCCGTCCTTCCGTTGGGCTCACTGCACAGTGCAGGAGTTTGCAACTGTGTGGATGTCACTCCGGATGATTCGGGTTGCTCGCGGATCGATGATCTAGCTCCAGTCAGACTGTTCTCCAGTGGCTCATTCCCTGTACCGCGGGGGGTTCAATGCAGTCCTTGGCTTGGGGCTGGTTGCTACAGGTGACTCATCTGTTGAGTTTTTGGAGTTTAGCTCTCCTGGCAGTTCTCATTTGGGGGTGTCCATGGTCCTGGTGGACAGCCTGTCCCACTTCCTTCCCTTCCACAGAGTGGACGGTCGGTGCCAACTCCTTCAGTCGGCTCTGCTGGATGTTTGGGCCTCCGGAGGTGGACGTCTTTGTGTTGGCGTGGTCAAAGCATCTCACGGTATTCGTGGAGCCCTTTCCTGACTGCGAGGCCATCGGGGTCAATGCCTTCAGGCAGGACTGGGTGAGGTGGGGTTCCCTATTTCTCTTCCCTCGGTTCTGCTGTTGCTCCAGGTCCTGGCTTGC